AGAGAGAGAGAGGAGAGAGAGAGAGAGAGAGGAGAGAGAGAGAGAGAGAGAGAGAGAGGAGAGAGAGAGAGAGAGAGAGAGAGAGAGGAGAGAGAGAGAGAGAGAGAGAGAGAGAGAGAGGAGAGAGAGAGAGAGAGAGAGAGAGAGAGAGAGAGAGAGAGAGAGAGAGAGAGAGAGAGAGAGAGAGAGAGAGAGAGAGAGAGAGAGAGAGAGAGAGAGAGAGAGAGAGAGAGAGAGAGAGAGAGAGAGAGAGAGAGAGAGTTCTTATTAAATAATCTGGTGTCATCGCACAATACTATGCAAGGCGCAATGAGCTTAAGGTGTTTTATACTCACCAGCCGCTTGGCGACGCCACCGTCACGGGAAGATAAAGAATTTAACAGAATCCTCCTCCTAGACTAGAGTATACAATCCTTGCTTGTACAGTACTAACACGTGGGTGGAGCTTGGTGACGTCTTGTGATTCCCCCTTAGGTTTGTTTTTTACGGGAATTAGCCCACCCGGGCACAGGTCGAAGGATCCACAACGGGACCTAGGGGGCGAAAAAATAAGAATAGAAAGAAATTAAAAAGAGAAAAGAAAAAGGTTATACTGTATTAATCTACACCACGAAGATGCCGGACAACTAGCGTTTTGAAGTGAGACAGATTGCATAAGTATACAGTAGAAACACAGAAGAACTAGAACGGGTTATTGTAGTGTGACCGACATCCATAGAGAAACGGTGGGCACCGCGGGCAAGACGTGTGTTACGAGCCCACGGCCTTGCCGGCGGTACACAGGATGCCAAATCCATCGAACATTGCCCGTTGAAGTACCTGTAGAAGAGAGAGAATGAAGCAACATTACGGCGAAGAGAAAGGGAAGAAAGATTGTCAACTAAAGGAGGAGAGTTAATAAGACGAAATGGCTTTGATTCCACCCTATCTAACAGTTGGACAGAAGAAGAGCCACCCCAGATATGAGAGCAGTACTCCAAGTTAGGACGAATGAATCCCTTATATACTTGAAGCAACTGCTCAAGAGTGAAGTAGCTACGGCATCTGTACAGCATTCCCAACTTTCGGGAGGCAGCTTTAGCAATGTTGAGGATGTGTGACTTCTATGACATATTGGAGGAAATGGTGAGGCTTGATGTTCTTTTACTGATATATTGTACAGTATTTCACACTATATACCAGTATGACTTTAAAAATAAGAAATGTGCACTCAACTGGTCATATGACTCATATTAACGTATAACATATTGATATACAGTACCCACTATAAATAAGTACAGCTTATTATACTACAGTATATAGCGAAATGCAGAAATACTACCAATTGAATATAGTGCTCATTGAGGAGAACAGTTTTGCAGCCGCTTAAGAACAAGATGTTTCACTTGCATATTTAATCCAATAATATGATAAACTGAAACAGGAATGAATGATTATTGATTTTAATAAATATAATGATGGTATTATTTTCCTCTGGCTGCTCATTAGGTACACCGAAAATGAAGGATACTTTAAATTGAGCAAAGTTATTTTTACAATTGGGTAAATTCTATATGAGATACATTTTCATAAGTTGATTAGGTATATAATCGTTATATATTGTGCGGTACCTCTCAGTAGAGCAGTGAAGCTTAACAACAAACAATAAAATTAACGCCATTTTTCTGAGTCACTCTTCATGGAATGCTTGAAATATGACACTAAATTAAATAAATGAATAATTAACCCTAAGTTACCCTCCTGTGGGATGTCGCAGGTGGCTTAGCCATATTATACTTGTGAAACCACGGGGGATACCACTTCCTTTGTTTCCAACCACAGGGGATACCACCTCCTTTGTTCAACCACAATGGATAGCTACCACCTCCCCTGTTCCCAACCACAGGGAATACCACCTCCCCTGTTCCCAGCCACAGGGAATACCACCTCCCCTGTTCCCAACCACAGGGAATACCACCTCCCCTGTTCCCAACCACAGGGAATACCACCTCCCCTGTTCCCAGCCACAGGGAATACCACCTCCCCTGTTCCCAGCCACAGGGAATACCACCTCCCCTGTTCCCAGCCACAGGGAATACCACCTCCCCTGTTCCCAGCCGGAAACCCCCTGTTCCCAACCACAGGAATACCACCTCCCCTGTTCCCAGCCACAGGGAATACCACCTCCCTGTTCCAGCCACAGGAATACCACCTCCCCTGTTCCCAACCACAGGAATACCACTCCCTGTTCCCAACACAAGGAATACCACCTCCCCTGTTCCCACCACAGGGAATACCACCCTGTTCCCAGCCACAGGAATACCACCTCCTGTTCCAGCCACAGGAATCACACCTCCCCTTCCCAACCACAGGGAATCCACCTCCCCTGTTCCCACACAGAATACCACCTCTGTTCCCAGCCAAAGGAATACCACCTCCCAAAACCCCACCAACCACCCCCCAGGAATACCACCCCCTGTTCCCCACCAAGGGAATACCACCTCCCCTGTTCCCAGCCACAGGAATACCACCCCTGTTCCCAACCCAGAACACCTCCCCTGTTCCCAGCCACAGAATACCACCTCTGTCCCCCACAGGAATACCACCTCCCTGTTCCCAGCCACAGGAATACCACCTCCTTCCCACAAACCCCCTGTCCCAACCACAGGAATACCACCCCCTGTTCCCAGCCACAGGAATACCACCTCCCTGTCCCCAACCACAGGAATACCCCCCTGTCCACACAAAACCTCCTGCACAACCCTTCAACCACAGAATACCACCTCCCTGTTCCCAACCACAGGGAATACCACCTCTGTTCCCAGCCACAGGAATACCACCCCCCCTGTTCCCAGCCACAGGAATACACCTCCTGTTCCCCAGCCACAGGAATACCACCCCCTGTTCCCCAACCACACAGGAATACCACCCCTCTCTGTTCCCAGCCACAGGGAATACCACCTCCCTGTTCCCAGCCACAGGAATACCACCTCCCCTGTTCCCCAGCCACAGGAATACCACCTCCCTGTTCCCCAACCACAGGAATACCACCTCCCCTGTTCCCAACCACAGGGAATACACCTCCCTGTTCCCAGCCACAGGAATACCACCTCCCCTGTTCCCAACCACACCACCTCCCTGTTCCCAACCACAGGAATACCACCTCCCCTGTTCCCAACCACATAGGGAATACCACTCTGTCCCAGCCACAGGGAATACCACCTCCTCTGTTCCCAACCACAGGGAATACCACCTCCCCTGTCCCACCACAGGGAATACCACCTCTGTTCCCAACCACAGGAATACCACCTCTGTTCCAGCCACAGGAATACCACCCCCCTGTTCCCAACCACAGGGAATACCACCTCTGTTCCCACCACAGGAACACACCTCTGTTCCCAACCACAGGAATACCACCTCCCCTGTTCCCAGCCACAGGAGAATACACCTCCTGTTCCCACCAGGAATACCAATTCCCCTGTTCCCACCACAGGAATACCACCCCTGTTCCCAACCACAGGAATACCACCCCCTGTTCCCAGCCACAGGAATACCACCTCCCCTGTTCCCAGCCACAGGAATACCACCCTCCTGTCTCTGCTAGAATACCCACCTCCCCTGTTCCCCAGCCACAGGGAATACCACCCCTGTTCCCCAAACACAGGAATACCACCTCCCCTGTTCCCAACCACAGGGAACACACTCCCTGCCCTGCACACAGGAACACCACCTCCCCTGTCCCCAACCACAGGAATACCACTCTGTTTCCAGCCACAGGAATACCACCTCCTGTTCCTGTCCACAGGAATACCACCCTGTCCCAGCCACAGGGAATCCACCTCCCTTCCCAGTTTCAAAACCCCCCTGCCCCAGCCAATATCACCCACACCTCCCTCGTTCCCCAAACCCAGGAAATACCACCCCTGTTCCCAGCCACAGGACACACCTCCCTGTTCCCAACCACAGGGAATACCACCTCCCTGTTCCCAACCACAGGAATACCACCTCCCCTGTTCCCCAACCACAGGAATACCACCCCCAGCCACAGAATACCACTGCCCCAACCAGTGGAATACCACCTCCCCTGTTCCCAGCCAGGAATACCACCTCCCTGTTCCCAACCACCACCCTGTTCCACCCGGAATACCACTCTGTTCCCACACAGGAATACCACCTCCTGTTCCCAGCCACAGGGCACCACCTCCTGTTCCCAACACAGGAATACACCCCCTGTTCCCCACCACCTCTGTTCCCACCACAGGAATACCCACCCTGTCTCACCACAGAACACCTCCCTGTTCCAGTCACAGGAATACCACCTCCCCTGTTCCCAACCACAGGGAATACCACCTCCCCTGTTCCCAGCCACAGAATACCACCTCCCTGTTCCCAGCCACAGGAATACCACCTCCCTGTTCCCCAACCACAGAATACCACTCTGTTCCCAACCACACAGGAATACCACCTCCCCTGTTCCCCAACCACAGGAATACCACCTCCCTGTTCCCAAACCACAGGAATACCACCTCCCTGTTCCCCAGCCAGGGAATACCACCTCTGTTCCCAGCCAGGAATACCACTCTGTTCCCTGTCATCAGGAATACCACCCCTGTTCCCAACCACAGGGAATACCACCTCCCCTGTCTCAACAGGAATACCACCTCCTGTTCCAATCACAGGAATACCACCTCTGTTCCCAACCACGGGAATACCACTCTGTTCCCAGCCACAGGGAATACCACCTCCTGTTCCCCAACCACAGAATACACTCCTGTTCCCCACCACGGAATACCACCTCCTGTCCCAGCCACAGAATACCACCTCCCTGTTCCCCAGCCATAGGAATACCCACCTCTCTGTTCACAGACACCTCCCCTGTTCCCGTCCACAGGAATACCACTCTGTTCCCAACCACAGAATACCACTCCCCTGTTCTCAGCCACAGGAATACCACCTCCTGTTCCCAACCACAGAATACCACTCCCCCTGTTCTCACAGGAATACCACTCTGTTCCCTGCAGGAATACCACCTCCCTGTTCCCAGCCACAGGGAATACCACCTCCCCTGTTCCCCAGCCACAGGGAATACCACACCCCTGTTCCCAACCACAGGAATACCACCCTCCCTGTTCCCCAGCACAGGAATACCACCCCTGTTCCCAGCCACAGGAATACCACCTCCCTGTTCCCAGCCACAGGGAATACCACTCTGCCCCAACCACAGAATACCACCTCCTGTTCCCAGCCACAGGGAATCCTCCTCTGTTCCCCAGCCACAGGAATACCACCTCCCCTGTTCCCAGCAACCACAGGAATACCACCTCCCTGTTCCCAGCCACAGGAATACCACCTCCCTGTTCCCAACCACAGGGAATACCACCCCCTGCCCCAACCACAGAATACCACCTCCCTGTTCTCAGCCACAGGAATACCACTCTGTTCCAACCACAGAATACCACCTCCCTGTTCCCAACCAGGGGAACACACCTCCCTGTTCCCACCCACAGGAATACCACCTCCCTGTTCCCTGCTACAGGAATACCACCCCCTGTTCCCCAGCCACAGGAATACCACCTCCTGTTCCCAACCACAGGAACACCCCCTGTTCCCTCACCACAAGGAATACCCACCTCCTGTTCCCAACCACAGGGAATACCACCTCTGTTCCCCAACCACAGGAATACCACCTCTGTTCTCAGCCACAGGAATACCACCTCCCCTGTTCCCAACCACAGAATACCACCTCCTGTTCCCCAGCCACAGGAATACCACCCCCTGTTCCTGCACAGGGAATACCACCTCCTGTTCCGCACAGAGAATACCACCTCTGTTCCCAACCACAGAATACCACTCTGTTCCCAGCCACAGGAACACACTCTGTTCCCCAACCACAGGAATACCACCCCTGTTCCCAACCACAGGAATACCCACCCCTGTTCCCAGCCACAGGAATACCACCCCCTGTTCCCAACCACAGGAATACCACCCCCTGTTCCCAGCCACAGGAATACCACCTCCCTGTTCCCAGCCACAGGAATACCACCTCCCCTGTTCCAACCACAGGAATACCACCTCCTGTTCCCAACCACAGGAATACCACCACTCTGTTCCCCAACCACAGGAATACCACCTCCCTGTTCCCAGCCAATAGAATACCACCTCCCCTGTTCCCAACCACAGGAATACCACTCTGTTCTCAGCCACAGGAATACCACCTCCCTGTTCTGTTCAGGAATACCACCTCCCTGTTCCCAATCAAGGGAATACCTCCTCTGTTCCCCAACCACAGGAATACCACCTCCCCTGTTCCCCAGCCACAGGGAATCACCACCTCCTCTGTTCCCAACCACAGGAATACCACTCTGTTCCCAGCCACAGGGAATACCACCTCCCTGTTCCCCAGCAGAATACCACCTCCTGTTCCAACCACAGGGAACACCACCTCTGTTCCCAAACCACAGGAATACCACCTCCCTGTTCCCAGCCACAGGAATACCACCTCCCTGTTCCCCAACCACAGGAATACCACCTCTGTTCCCCTGTTCAGCCACAGGGATGACCACCTCTGTTCCCAACCACAGGAATACCACCTCCCCTGTTCCCAGCCACAGGGACACCTCTGTTCAACCACAGGGAATACCACCTCCTGTTCCCCCACAGAAACTCCCACAGAACCACCTCTCTGTTCCCCAACCACAGGAATACCACCCTGTTCCCCAGCCACAGCCCACCCCTGTTCCCAGCCACAGGGAATACCACCCCCACTCAGCCACAGGAATACCACTCCCCTGTCCCAACAGGAATACCACCTCCCCTGTTCCCCAACCACAGGAATACCACCTCCCTGTTCTCAGCCACACAGGAATACCACCTCCCCTGTTCTCCCACAGGGAATACCACCTCCCTGTTCCCAGCCATAGGAATACCACCCCTGTTCCTCAGCCACAGGAATACCCACCTCCCTCAGCCACAGGAATACCACCTCCCTGTCTCAGCCACAGGAATACCACCTCCCTGTTCCCTGTCACAGGAATACACCTCCTGTCCTGTCACAGGAATACCACTCCTGTTCCCAGCCACAGGAATACCACCTCCCTGTTTCCAGCCACAGGGAATACCACCTCCCTGTTCCCCAACCACAGGAATACCACCTCTGTTCCCAGCCACAGGAATACCACTCCCTGTTCCCCAGCCACAGGAATACCACTCCCCTCCCCACAGGAATACCACTCTGTTCCCCAGCCACAGGAACACCACCTCTGTTCCCCAACACAGGAATACCCACCCCCCTGTTCCCAGCCACAGGAATACCACTCCCAGTCAGTCACACCTCCTGCCTTCACAGAATACCACCTCCCTGTCTTGACAGAATCCCCCTGTTCACGGAATACCACCGTCTCTGTTCACAGGAACACCTCCTGTTCCCACCACAGGAGCAATACCCCTGTTCCCCAACCACAGGAATACCACCTCCCCTCTGTTCCCAACCACAGGAATACCACCACCCCTGTTCCCAACATAACAGGAATACCACCTCCCCTGTTCCCAGCCACAGGAATACCACCTCTGTTCCCAACCACAGGAATACCACCCCTGTTCCCCAGCCACAGGAATACACCTCCTGTTCCCCAACCACAGGAATACCACCTCCCTGTTCCCACACACAGGAATACCACCTCCCTGTTCCCACCACAGAATACCACTCCCCTGTTCCCACAGAAACCACCTCCTGTTCTCAGCCACAGGAATACCACCCCTGTTCCCAACGGAATACCACCTCCCTGTTCCTGCCACAGGAATACCACCTCCCCTGTTCCCAGCCACAGGGAATACCACACCCCCCTGTTCTCAGCCACAGGGTACCACCTCCCCTGTTCCCCAACCACAGGGAATACCACCTCTGTTCCCCAGCCACAGGGAATACCACACCCCTGTTCCCAGCCACAGGAACACCACTCCCCTCAGCCAGGGAATACCACCTCCCTGTTCCCACACAGGGAATACCACCTCCCCTGTTCCAGCCACAGGAATACCACCCCTGTTCTCAGCCACAGGGAATACCACTCCCTGTTCCAGCCATGGACCACCCCTGCCCTGTTCAGAATACCACCCAGGAATACCACCTGTTCCCAACCACAGGAATACCACCTCCTGTTCCCAGCCACAGGAATACCACCTCCCTGTTCCCAACCACAGGAATCCACCTCCTGTTCCCAGCCACAGGGAATACCACCTCCCCTGTTCCCAGCCACAGGAATACCACCTCCCCTGTTCCCCAGCCACAGGAATACCACTCCCTGTTCCCCCAGGAACACACCTCCCTGTTCCCCTGTCACAGGGAATACCACCTCCCCTGTTCCTGCAGGAATACCACCTCCCCCCCCGCACAGGATACCACCTCCCCTGTTCGCCACAGGAATACCACCCCTGTCCCTGTTCACAGGAATACACCTCCCCTGTTTCCCACAGGAATACCACTCCTGTTCCCAACGAACACCTCCTGTTCCTGCAACCAGGAATACCACCTCCCTGTTCCCAGCCACAGGAATAACACCTCCCTGTTCCCAGCCAACAGGAATACCACCTCCCTGTTCCCCAACCACAGGGAATACCACTGTCCAGCCAATACCACCTCCTGTTCCGCCACAGAATACCACCTCCCCTGTTCCTCCAGGAATACCACCTCCCCCAACCACAGAATACCACTGTTCCTGTCACGGAATCCACCCTTCCTTCAAAGGAATACCACCTGTTCCCAACCACAGGGAATACCACTCTGTTCCCACCACAGAATACCACCTCCCTGTTCCTGCCACAGGGAATACCACCTCCCTGTTCCTGTCCACAGGGTCACCACCTCCCTGTTCCCAACCACAGGGAATACCACCTCCCCTGTTCCCCAGCCACAGGTACCACCTCCCTGTTCCCAGCCACAGGAATACCACCCCTGTTCCCAGCCACAGGAATACCACCTCTGTTCCCAGCCACAGGGAATACCACCCCTGTTCCCAGCCACAGGGACACACCTCCCTGTTCCCCAGCACACAGGAATACCACCTCTGTTCCCAGCCACAGGAATACCACCTCCCCTGTTCCCAACCACAGGGAATACCACCTCCCCTCCCCAGCCACAGGAATACCACCTCCTGTTCCCAGCCACAGGGAATACCACCTCCTGTTCTCAGCCACAGGAATACCACCTCCTGTTCCCAGCCACAGGAATACCACCCCTGTTCCCAACCACAGGAATACCACCTCCTGTTCCCAGCCACAGGAATCACCTCCCCTGTTCCCAGCCACAGAATACCACTCTGTTCCCAGCCACAGGAATACCACCTCCCTGTTCCCAACCACAGGAATACCACCCCCCTGTTCCCAGCCACAGGGAATACCACCTCCCCTGTTCCCAGCCACAGGGAATACCACCTCCTGTTCCCAACCACAGGAATACCACCTCCTGTTCCCAGCCACAGGAACACCTCCCCTGTTCCCAGAATACCACCTCCTGTTTCCAGCCAGGAATACCACCTCCCTGTTCCCAACCACAGGGAATACCACCTCCCTGTTCTCAGCCACAGGGAATACCACCTCCCTGTTCCCAGCCACAGGAATACCCCACTCTGTTCCCAAACCACAGGAATACCACCTCCCTGTTCCCAGCCACAGGAATACCACCTCCCTGTTCCCAGCCACAGAGAATACCCACCTCCTGTTCCCAGCCACAGGAATACCACCTCCCTGTTCCCAGCCAGGAATACCACCTCCCCTGTTCCCCCACAGGAATACCACCTCCTGTTCTCAGCCACAGGAATACCCACCTCCCCTGTTCCCAACCACAGGAATACCACCTCCCCTGTTCCCAGCCACAGGAATACCACTCCCTGTTCCCAGCCACAGGAATACACCACCTCCTGTTCCCAACCACAGGAATACCTCCCCTGTTCTCAGCCACAGGAATACCACCTCCCCTGTTCCCACAGGAAACCACCTCCCTGTCCCAACCACAGGAATACCACCTCCCTGTTCCCAGCCACACAGGAATACCACCTCCCTGTTCCCAGCCACAGGGAATACCACCTCCCTGTTCCCAGCCACAGGGAATACCACCTCCCTGTTCCCAACCACAGGAATACCACCTCCCTGTTCCCAGCCACAGGAATACCACACCTCCCCTGTTCCCAGCCACAGGAATACCACCTCCCCTGTTCCCAACCACAGGGAATACCACCTCCCCTGTTCCCAGCCACAGGGAATACCACCTCCCCTGTTCCCAACCACAGGGAATACCACCTCCCCTGTTCCCAACCACAGGGAATACCACCTCCCCTGTTCCCAGCCACAGGGAATACCACCTCCCCTGTTCCCAGCCACAGGGAATACCACCTCCCCTGTTCCCAGCCACAGGGAATACCACCTCCCCTGTTCCCAGCCACAGGGAATACCACCTCCCCTGTTCCCAGCCACAGGGAATACCACCTCCCCTGTTCCCAGCCACAGGGAATACCACCTCCCCTGTTCCCAGCCACAGGGAATACCACCTCCCCTGTTCCCAGCCACAGGGAATACCACCTCCCCTGCTTCCAACCATAGGGGATAGCTACCACCTCCCTTGGTGCAGATCAAGGTTATTTTTTTCAGGTGTGAAGCCATTTTTTTTATTATAGTTTTAGTCTTGGGTGCAAGAACAAAACAACAAACTGGTGCTTATTTAATGGTGCTGTGAGATGAGACTATGAAAATTGGATTACAGTAATTATATATTTTCCAGAGCGGTTCTGGCCTGTATATAAGGTTAGGTAGTAGAAACACAAGAGGGAATCTTCTATCGTTCTACCTTGTCTATAGTGAGTGGCAAAGTTTTTGAATTTGCAGTTTCTTTGTGACGTTCAGTGAACCAATGAAACAAATTTATAGATTTTTTGCTGTTGCAACAATGGATTTATATTTGTTGATAGATGGATCTTGTGTAATTCGTCTATGTACAGTATATGAAAATATCAGGATAGTGTCTGCTTATATTTTAACTTGGAATGTACAGTATATGCCATTTTGAGAGAACAGTAGCAATAATGATTTTAGAAACATTATTACTCGTACCTATTTGGTTGCTCTATGCATTTTAAGTAATTTTTTAACATCGCCAACTGTGCATATTATACAAGTCCTCATATACCAAATATAGGTAGTAGGCAGCTACCAAACAGGGAGGTACTACCGCCTGGGAAGATATTCTCAGCATAATGTGTTGTTTAATGGTAGACCCTGCTGCCATATGGCATCACGAATATTGTGACCAAGTCCCAGGTTGCTGATCTGACTTTCTGCCTCATTTACACACAATTGCAGGGTCTCAATTGTTTCTCTTACTATTGACAACACATCATATTGTACATATAGCATTTCTCACTATTGATTTTTTTTATCATTATTAGTATTGTTATTGTTATTATTATTTTATTTTACTTTTTATTATAAATTTTATTTATTATGAAATACTGTATTATTATTATTATTATTATTATTATTACCTGTATTAAATTTTCACCCCCCAGGCGCCGATGTGGGTCAGTGACCTGTGCCCGGGTGGGCTAATCTTAAAAAAAAAAAAAAAAATATATATATATATATATATATATATATATATATATATATATATATATATATATATATATATATATATATATATATATATATATATATATATATATATATATATATATATAATTCAATTGAGAGAACAGCTTATTGCATTATTTGTTTTGGTAAATGTTTACGAAACTGTCATCATTAGAAGTTGTTTGTTGATTTTTTTTATTTTTGCTATACTTATTGTTTTGATGATTTTAAGTATATTAAAAGAACGACAACTTTCTAGTACTATATATATATATATATATACATATATATATATATATATATATATATATATATATATATATATATATATATATATATATATATATATATATATATATATATATATATATGTATTTTTTTTTTTACTCTCCCGCTTCACAATTCTCCTCCCGGCGCCATTTTTGTTGTTTACCTCGCTGAATCTTTCTTCAAGAGACGTTTCCTAAATGATGATAAACGCTTCCACGAATTTCCCCTGATGTATATCAACCGCAATATTAAGGTAAGTTGTTTAACATATAAATTAACACGATAATGCATAGAACCTAATAAAACCTGACCTAACATACCCAACCTATGGGTAAGTTAGGTCAGGTTCTATGTATTAAGGTCATTTATGTGTTTAATATCATGCCATTAGTGAGTATTTTTTTTAACCAAATAGCACATTTCCTTTGGGTGATAAGTTCCGTAAACCTTTACCTTTGTTTTTCCGTAACATTAGTTATAATAGTTCAAAATTGCAGTTATACCAATCTTTATTGTCTTACCTTATGTTGCAGGTAACTGCGGTGTTGAGAAACCTATGAAAAACAATACTATTCCCCTTGTGCTTGAGCAGTAGTAACCATACACTTTACAATTACTTGGCATACTCTCACACGTTGTAATCCAACTCTGAACTTCACATTTTCAAACAGTTTTTTAGAAATTAAAAGAAACACGAGTACGTCTGTATAATGCACTTTCAATGTGTACTGAGCTGGAGAAAAGGGTAGGATGGCCTCGCTGCCTGCCACGCTATGCGTGTGATTACTACTGACTAATGGTTGCGTTTTCTTCCTCCTTGTATTCTTTAGCGTTTAGACCTTGGGTTCGTCTACGATGGCAAATCTTGAAAGGTTTACGGTTATTGCTAACGCCACGATGTTCATCCTTATTTTACGATGAGTCTGAGCCGGCCGAAGCATAACATAAGCCAGAACATAGGAGAATTTTCTCAGGTACATGACCCTGATAGTGTACCAAAACAACAGCTGGCAGTGGGCTCAAAGTTCCAACCCGAAGGAAGATGGAGTTGGTTAGGGATTCTTTAGACCTCTTTAAATGTGAGTGATGAACATATCAGATATTATCGATTATCTCGAAAGGAAATTAGATAGTGTGGCTCTGTGATGAACTGGAAGTACTTACGGCTCCTTCATATGAACTAACTCCATTCTGCGCAACAGATTTGAAATTGGTGAATTTGACAACTCCTACGTACTTGGTGGGTGGCTTTGCATTCGAAGTCTAACATGAAATAATTTAACCATTATTACCGTCCGGTAAAAAGTTTACTTTATGGCTGTGACCTATTTGGTAAAATTATTGTTTCGACCATCCAGCGAATTTTAGGATTTTCAGTATTTTAATCGATAAAATTACAAAAACAAAAATATTACTTTTTTAAGGTGGGTAGGGCTTTGAAGTAGAGGGAAAATGTGGGGTAAAATACTAAATAACACTAAACAAACTTTTGAAAGCCTAACCTAACGTCTCCTAACCTTTAAAAATGCTAAAACTATGAAAGGTTTACCTTATTAATGTTATCGGTGTTTAGTAGATGATGGTGTTTTTAGTATGTTTTGGTGTTATTTTCGGTGGTCATGTGAAGAGGGATCCCTAAACTCAAAAGTGATTCTTAACATTTTTACAAGTTAGGAAACGTTAGGTAAGGTTTTCAAAGGTTTATTTGTTGTTCTTTTGTAATATTTTGCCCTACATTTTCCATCTACTTCAAACCTCTGCCCACTTTGAACAAATAATATTGTTGGTAATTTTATCGGTTAAAATACTCGAAAAATATAAATTTGCAACGGAAACGCTATAGAAGAACAGGCTAAACTACTGATTCCATAACTTACTCTTAAAATTCGCTGGATGATCGAAACTATAATAATACCGCCTATTTTGCTTTACTAAACGCCCACTTCCTATTTATAGTATTTTTCAAATAAAAATGTCGCAGGGGTGTGTTATATATTGTCCATGTATATATTTGATGTACTGTATATACTATATAGTGTATGTTAGGCTCAAAGAATGTTTTTCTCACTGAACGAAAAAACGTCCACAACTTGTTGAAGTGGAAAAAAATTGTGGGGTAAAAACACGCAAAACAGTGACAAAACCAACGCTAACCTAGCGTAATGAATTCAGAAAACTGTAACCATTAATGTTTAAGAGCAGACGTCTAGGTTAAGGAGCCAAGTTAGAAAACTTTTCAATAAAATAAATGTTCTTTAGTTTATCAAGAACATTCCCCAAATGGTGGAGGAAATTAATTTTTGCCAAATAATTAAATCATAATGAACCTAAGCAAAGAAACCAGAACGACTTAACCCGACAATACAAAAAAAACCTAAAGAACCAGCCAAACTTGTTAACGAAACTAGAAAAACTCGAAAAATATATATTTCGACAAAAAGTCTATACTATTTTTTATTTTTTATTTTTTTTGCTGTCTCCCTACATACAAGTCAATATAGGTCTCCTTGGTTGACCTTTCCTAATCTTTACCAGAAATACTGACTTAAAAGGAGAATTTTGTAATTTACTTTTTTTTACCTTTTCCCCAAGCTTGATGCTTGTCAGTATTTTTGTGGCAGGCTTTATCAAGTTCTCCGCTAAGTTATGATCTTTCCCCGTCTTTGCTACTAGCAGTGAAGCCCTGTATAATATTAATTACCAGTAATTGCATTTCTTACAAAAAGACTCAATAGGTTTTCAGATTAATTATTTGTGCTTAAATTCAAAATGATGCTTCAGTTTCGAGGGTTTCATAGCCTCATTGTTCAAAATTTTCATATGATAAAACAAAGCGAGGGGCCAGGCTTCTCTTTATTATCCTTCCAGGAAAATCTCTTTTCGCATTTTTCGTTGACGATATTCGTATCCACTTTGCTTTTCAACAGTCTTTTTTCCAATAATATTGTTAAAGTTCTCTTCACTGAACTCAAAATCTATCATTGGGTTCGTAATATACAATGAACACATTTTCAACTTCTATACACTGGACATGTCTCACTGCCAACATGAACATCGGGATCACCATCTTTTTTAAGAGGCTCACACACAAATCATGTTAGACAAAGAGTTTTATCTCATATTTTTAATGTTGATGAACTTGTGTATTACTATCCTTGTTACTCGTTTAAAGACCTTCGTTGTCGAAGCGCATTAATAACATTATAACAACAACAAAATCCTTAGGAGAGGGGAGCACAGGGGGGGGGAGGCATTATCCTTGTAGGGTCTGAGCCTCTGGGGGCCCGGCCCGTAGAAGCAAAGTCTCGTGTACGCACAGTTCCGAAACATGCACATTCATAAAAAAAAAAAAACAATACTGGAAGTACTACGGTAAAACAACCAAAAAACTCGCAACACTAAGGGTTCTGTTTAGTTACCCTCACGATCTTGAAGTTGGAGGAAAGGATGCCATTACTCTCGTAAATACAGTACATCGCATTTTTTAAACAGCACCTTCAAACATAATTGATAAATTACTTACTATCTAAACTTATATTTTAAGTTTCCCATCAAGAGTGTTCATTCTGGTCATTGTATATTTTATGTCTGTTAATATTGTTAAAGTCTTGATGTGTTTATGAACTGGTGTGCTCTCTGGCACTTGTACATTTAAATTATTTCGTATGAACGTTTTTAGGAAGACAGTGTCCTAATAACGCACA